TGCATGTGAGCGTGTGTGCGCATGCATGTGAGTATGTGTGTGTGCATGTGAGGGCGTGTGCGCATGCATGTGAGTGTGTGTGCACACTGGGTGTATGAGTGTGCATGTGTGTGAGCATGTGTGTGCGCGCACACTGTATGTGTATGTGAGGCTGTGTGCATGTGTGACTGTGGATGTGAGTGTGCATGCCCACTGTGTGCATGTGCGCGTGTGTGTGCACATGTACGTAGGAGGTGTGCATGTGTGAGTGTGAGCGTGCGTGTGAGTGTTTGAGCCTCTGCCTGGCACCTTCATTTCTTGGCCCCAGCCTGCCCCTCCTCTGTCTCCTCCCCTGGGCAGATGGGGTCTGGGGGGATCTCTGTGTGACACGTAGCTGATGTGGAAAGGGGTCAGTCCCCACTGCTGCCCGGCCCCTTCCACCTGGGACGCCCCACCGCCAGGGGCCTGGGACACGTACCAGTGTCCACCATCTGACTCTCCATGACACCCTCTGCGTTCGCCCAGCCTGGCTCTGCGCTGCCCTGGGGCTCTGTGGGAACAGGGGTGGGGGTCGGTGAGAAGCTGGACACGTGTGCGGCCCGTTTGGGGCCCCAGTGGTGGGTCAACGCGGGCTGCAGTGTGGTGGCCACGGGAACAGGCTCTGGCTTCCCTGCGCGGTCGGTTTGACAGAAAGCAAGGCCTCCACCGAGATGGAGGGCTCTGACGGGGGCTGCGCCTCTTCAGTGGCAACGTGCTGACCCCCACCCTCCCTGGCTACGAATTTGGAGTGGCCCCTCATCCCTTATCTCACGGCAACAATAATGGAATCAGGAAAAGATGTTGGCCCTGTTGACCCTGGCCACCTCATGGAGAGAGTTCAGCTCCATCCCACGTCCATCAGAGGACAAAGATCAGCTTTGTTGGGGAGGCTTCCGGGTGTGACTTAGCAGAAACCCAAGACTAGAGCCAGCTCCACGCCGGAGCAGGAGCCGTCAGTCATGGCAGGTGGGGGGCCTGGGAGCCCTAATGCTGGGACGGCCGAGGCCGCCTGTGTGTCCATCTCCTCCGTCAGCCAGGGCCTCTCACGGACTCAATGAATAGGACTGAGCCCCCCGCTCTCTCTGCTGAGCTCGGGCACCCCCTTCACGTGGCCCAGGTCTGCCAGGAGTCCCAACTCAGCCCCAGCCTGTGCTCTGTGGGGAGTACAAGGCGGGGCCCCGGATGTCCCTGGTGGGGCTGGTGCTCTGGGGGAAGGAGAGGGGGGCGCTATGCTGCTCGGCAGCCGTCGCGCAGGCTGCTTCCTGTTGGGCTGTCCCGGCCGACCCCGGACCCCCGGAAACCACTTTCCCTCTCGAGGCCCCGGCTCCCAGGAGCACAGCCGCTCCCTCCGTCCACCCCTGACCCTGGAGCTGCAGCCCCTCCCGCCGTGCCTGGCCCCTGCCAGCCAGCTGGCCCTACCCTATGTCCAGAAGACGCAGGGCGAATGGCACCCCTCCTCTGGGTCCCAGGCCAGGTTTCCATGGGAACCGGCTTCTCGCAGGGCCCTCCTTGGGTGAGGGCCCAGCCCAGTAAGCCTGGGTCCCCATCACTCGCCAGAGAAACGCCCACTGCCAACCACCCACCACGTGGCAGTCTGGGTGCACCCCCTCCTGGTATGAAAAACCCCTCCACTTGAACCCATCCTCACCCCAGGGGAACCCCACCCGCCACGGCGCACCCCCCACCCAAAGGAGTCGCCCCCAAGAAGAGGGAAGTAGTGGAGCGTGAGGTGGGGCTCACCACAGGCCCACAGCTTAGGCACCTGAGGTGACGCTGAGGCCGGCACGGCCCCGAGGAGCCCAGAGGGACCAGCGGAGTGGGGACGTGGCTGGGCAAACGACACCCCAAACCAAGCAGCAGGCCAGGGTGGGGGGGACGCCACAACCAGGCTGTGTCCCAGGACCCCCACCGGGAGTTGCTATAGGAAAGGCCCCTTCACCTCCCAGCGCTTCTCACCCCCAAGAAAGGAGGGAGACGACCGCCCCTTCTACCTCCGCCTCTCACGGCCTCTGCTCACCTGCCCGGAGCCCTGAGCTCGGGCGGGAGCGCGGCCAGGACTGCGGGGCAGGTGTTGTCCAGACAGCCCCTGGGGCCTCATCTTTTTTGTTGACCGTGAGTATTAGGCTTTGTGGCACTTGCTGAGCTGCCGAGTGCCACGGGGCACAGGGACGACAGACAGGGAGGCGGCGGAGGAAGACCACGTGGCAGCGGGGTGATGCGAAGTGCAGGTGGTGGGTTCAGATGGGGCTCCCTGCTGCTGGGTCACCTGCCCACCCCACTGCACCCCGATTTCAAAGCCACTGTGGGGGCTGCCCCGATGGCTGTTACCCCAGGCTGGCCTTGGAGGCCAAGTGGAGAGGCTGCTGGGGTGCTGGGGCTCACACTGACGGGTGCTCACGGGGACCGGAGAGACCTCCAGCCTCGGCCCCTCACCGGCACCCACCCTGTCCCATCCTGGGGCCAAGCTTCTGGACACAGGGGCGGGGGGCCCACCTGTCCATTTTCAGCAGGAGAACCCCCAGGCCAGCAGCCCGTCCTGCTGGGAGGCCGCCCTGAGTGAAGATGGAGCAACGGGCCTCAGCCTTACCTGCTTTCTGCGAGAGCAGGGCCATGAGGGCCCACGCCAGTGCCCAGCACCCGCTCCGGGCGCCCATCCTGGGGACTGGCACAGGCAGGCAGGTGGCAGGCGAGGAGGGAGAGTGGGGCAAGGTGCTCGCTGCCCTGGGGGCCTTGGGGCTTATGTAGAAGGAAGCCCTGGCCTGGCGCCCGGCTCCTGGGCCGGGAGGGCACCGTCCTGCCCCCCACACCAGCCACGTGTGTTTGCTCTCGGGGAGGGGTTGCGGCAGGAAAGTGACGGAAGAGGAAGGATTTTCAGAGATGCAGGACCCCCCCCACCCCCCCAGCAGCTTCTGAGAGTCAGAAGGGAGAGCCCACCTGGTGCCAGGAGGGTGGTGCTGGCGGCCCTTCTGGCCAGCAAAGCCCCGGGAGGCAGGGCCAGCGAGGTGGGTCCTGTCTCACTGCAGCCCCCCACTCAGTAGGCAGCCCTGGGGGAGTTGGCCGGAGGAGCTCACCACCATCTGAAGAATGGGGGGGGGGCTGTGAGGCTGTGAAGCCATTGCGCGTCCTGGCAAGGGGGGCCTGGGGCTCCTGCTCAGCTGGTCCCCTTCGGGGACCCCAGGGCGTGTGCTCCAGCCACCCGCAGCAACTGTCCCCATCCTGTCATTTCTAAGGTTAAAGGTTGAGGGATAGGGTGTTTGGAGTCTGCAAAGCTCTTTCATCTCCAGCCCGGTTGTCCCCACTGCAGAAGGGCCTCCAAGAGAGGGCGGGGCGGGGGGCCTCACAGGACGGGGCTGGGCTGGAGCCCCTGCTCGGCCCACCTGTGCCTGGTCCCCAGCCGAGCCTGCCTGCCTCGCTCCACAAACGCAGCCAGTGCTCAGTCATGCCATGGCATTGTCCCTGAGCGGTGGGGTGTGCACACTGTCCAGGCCGCTGGCTGCAGAGGCCGCTTGTCTTCACCAGAAGGAAGGAAACTGGGGGTCTTTGGGCTCTGCTGAGGCCTTGGGGGGGGGGTTTCCCTCAGCCTGAAGCCTCATGGCCAGGCCTACCCCTCATCCCTGTCCCCTAGGGCTCCATTTCTCAATCTGTGCCCAGCTGGGGGCCTGGCGAGCCTGACGCAGCCAGCACCCGGCAGCCTGCAGAGGCCCACCGGCCCCACTCGGGCAGCCCCTCACCCCCAGCACAGGAGCAGCCCAGGCACCTCGGTCTGGGGCCTCGAATGTATGTTATCTCTTCACGGTTTCGTGTGTATGCCCTTCCCTGCCCGCCCCCAGCCCAGAAGGCGAGCCCCATACAGGCAAAGGCCGTGCCCATCTGGTCACCGCTGGCACACAGTAGGCACTCAGTAAAGCACTGAACGAGAGCACTGTCCTGGGCAGGCAGTCGGGGCGTCAGGGTCGCAGCTGCTGAGACATCCCGGATGCGTCTTGGGCCCGGCCTGTTTGCTCAGTGAGTTTACCCCTTCACAGTTGAGGGAGCCCAGAACAGAAGATAAAGGAAGAGGAGGCTGCCGGGAGGGAGGGCCTGGGCCAGCGGCCTCCTGCAGCTCGGGGAGGGCTCCGGCCGAGACCGTGCCAGGAACCTGCCTGTCTCAGGTGCGCCCTGTGCAGGGCAACACCCCCGGGCCACCCAGAGCCAGAGGCGGACACCATCCCAGGAGTGAATAAAGACCCCCCACCGGAAGCTCAGAGGCAGGCTTCCCCCGTCCGCCCCTCAGCCCTGGCGGACAGGGGCCCCTTGGCAGCTCACCCCGCCTCCCACCATGACGGTGCAGGCCCAGGACAAGGGTCCCTGGCTGCCTCGGGCCTCAGGCATTTATTGAGTGCTGGCTGTGTGCCCACGTGGAGGGTCCAGGAGGGTCAGGCATAGCCCGGGGGTCATGGGCGTGCCGGCTCGACGTCTGCTGGAGTCCGGCCTAGGCTGTCCTGCGGCTAGCGTGTTGTAGGCGTGTTGCCTCCTGCTCCCCAGCGGGCTGCATGGACACAGGGAGGGAACCACGGGGGGCCCAGCAGCCCTGGTCTACATCCTGAGGGGCCCACACTCCCGGGAGCTGGGGTTACCATGGTGTGACCCGAAGGCTGTGAGCCAGGAGTCCAGGGCTGGATGGCCCAGACCCTGGGCTTTGGGGTGGCCGTGCCCCATCCCTGCCCTAGACTCACTCAGGGTGTCTCCAGTGAGACTCAGGCGACCAGCCTGGTCCAGAAGAAACAGGTGGAGGACACGTTGGGCCATGGTGGCCCCGCAGGCCCCCGGCTTGTCCATCGACAGACATTACTGAGCACCTCCACCCCATGACAGGATGTGGGGTGCAGAGAGGTGGCTGTGACAGCCCTGCTGGGGGTGGGCATGTCAGCTGCATCTGGACATCCTCGTCGCCAGAGCTGCTCCACTGTGAGAAGGGTCCGGCCCGTTCCCCTGAGCTTGCCCAGGCTGCAAGAGGGGGAGACTTTCCTGCCCCACAGTGGGGCCCCCACAGTGCAAAGACCACGACCCCACCCACAGCGCCTTCTCCTATTTTCTTCTGTTTCCTCCCCTTCCAATCTTTCTTCCTTCCAGCAAATTCTGATGAGCCCAGAGTGGCACCTCGCGGGGCACTCAGCGTTCCACAGGACAAAGGTCCTGCCCTCAGAACTTACAACACTGTGACTGCTTCAGGCAGGGGTAAGACCCTTGAAGGAGCCAAGATAGAGTGACAGCTGTGTGGGCCGGAGGTGGCAGCTGAGCTGAAGGAAGGTGAGGAGGCCATGTCCTGCAGCTTGGGGGGACAGCTCCACCCGAGAGGAGACGGCTGCAAAGGCCCGGGGCAGGGGTGAATGTGGCCTGTTGGAGGGCCTGAAGGCGCCTGGTGTGGCGAGGACTGGGGTCTGGGGAGCAGGGCAGCTGGAGAGGGAGTGGGCAAGATCAGGTGAGGGGAGAAGTTTGGGTTCATTCTGAATTTGGGGGCATTGGCGCATTCAAAGAACGAAACCATAGGGGATGGTTTGTTTTTTTGTTTTTTTGTTTTTTTTTAAAGATTTTTGTTGGGGAATTGGGGGAGGGAACAGCGTTGGGGAATTGGGGGAAGGAGAACAGAAAAGTTGCTGCCCTTTTGTTCTTCAGTCTAGTTGTGGAGGATGTCGCCTCACTGGCCCATGTTGGTATTATCACTGTGCTCTTCCCGGGTGAGGCAGATCGGTCGCCGGCCACTGGACGGCCGCTCACACCGGCTGCCGGCCGCTCACGCTGGCTGCTGGCCACTCTTGGTAGCTTATGGCAACCCACTGCAGCTTCACTGCAGCCTATGCTGTTGCTGGCAACTCACGGCAGCCCAGCTCCAGGTCGAGCTGTTGTTCACCATCTTAGCTGTAGAGGGCGCAGCGTCACTGGCCCTCATGTGGGATCTGAACTGGGGCCCTGCTGCTCAGAGCTGGCGTCCCAAACCAACTCTTAACCAATGCGCCACTCAGCCGACCCATTGGGGATGTTTTTTTGTAGTAAAGTGAACATATAAAAATTACCATTTTAAGTGCATATTAAGTGGCATTAAGTACATTCACATTGCACAACCATTACCCATGTTCCCAGAGACTCTGACCCCCTCCCCCAGCTCCTGGCCCCACCATCTGCTTTCCTCTATAAACTTGACTGCTCTAGGGGCTTCATTCAAGTGGAATCACACAGGATGTATCCTCTCTGTCTGGCTCATTCACTCAGCAGTGTCCTCCAGGTCCACCCATGTTGCAGCAGGTGTCAGGATGTCCTGCGTCTTCAGACTGACACTGCACCGTGTGGACGGACCATGTTTTGTGCATCTGTTCCTCCATCCATGGACACGCGGGTCTACCTTTTGCCTGTTGCAAATGATGCTGCCGGGAACACGGTGTACAAGCACTTGTTTGAGTCCGGCTTTTAATTCCTTTGGGTGTACGCCTCGGAGTGGAATTGCTGGCTCATCTCACAGTCCTGCTTAACTTTTTGAGGGCTCACCGAACTATTTCCCACAACTGCAGCATTTCACATTCCCACCTACAGTGCACATAGCTTCCAGTTTTTCCCCATCCTCAGCAACACTTGTTACTTTCCATTTATGTATGTATGTATGTATGCATGTATGTATGTATGTATTATTATTATTATTATTTTAAATAACAGCCATCCTAATGGGTGTGAAGTGGCATTCCATTGTGGTCTTGATTTCATTTCCTTAATAATTGGTGATGTTGAGAATCATTTCATGTGTGTATTGGTTGTTTGCATCTCTTCTTAGGAGAAATGTCTGTTCAGGTCCTTTGCCCATTTTTGAGTTGGGTTGTTTGGTTTTTATTTCTTGTTACGTTTTAGTTCTTAATATTGTGACTATTAATTTGTTATCAGATCTATGTTTGCAAATATTTTCTCCATTCGGTGGCCGCCTTTTAACGCTTTGATAGTGTCCTTTGATGCACAAAAGATTTTAATTTTTATACAGTCCAATTTATCTGCTTTTTCTTTGGTTGCCTGGGCTTTTGGGGTCATATCCAAGAAATCCTTGCCAAATACAACATCACAAGGATTTCCCCCTATTTTTAAAAGAGTTCTTATAGTTTGAGTCCTTACAGTTAGGTTTCTGATCTATTTTGAATTAATTTTCATGTATGATGTGAAGTAGGTAAGGGTCCAGCTTCACTCTTTTTTTTTTTTTAAGCTGAGCCATCCTGCCACCTGTTGGCAGCTCAGCGGCAGCTCAGCTCATGCCGGGACTCGAACCGCTGTTGCTCAGAGCTCACACTCTTGAGCGAGCTCTTAACCAACTGAGCCACTCGGCCGGCACTTCAGCTCCACTCTGTAGCGTGTAGATACCTGGTGTTCCCAGAACCAGTTGTTGAAAAGACTGCCCTTCCCCCATTGGTTAGTCTCAGCACCCTTGTCGTAAGCCAATTGGCCACATATTCCACGGCTTATTCCTGCAGCATCTGGTCTGTCCCGCCGGTCCCCGCATCTGTCCTTATGCCCGTATGCAGAGTTCTCACTACGGTAGCTTTGTACTAAGTTTTGAAATCAAGAAGTGTGAGTCCTCCAACTTTGTTCATCTTCATCA